GAACATGACATAGATCCAGAAATTCAGAATGTAGAATTGAATCCTGAAGAAGTGGATGAAATGCCAGTCCGGGGCACCAGGTCTCTGCATGACATATATGAGAGGTGTAATGTGGCTGAATTGGAGCCTACATGCTATGCTGAAGCTGCAAAATCTGAAGCCTGGAAGGTTGCAATGCAGGAAGAGATGAATGTGATTGAGAAAAATCAAACTTGGGAGCTGGTTGATAGACCACTTAATAGAAAAGTAATACAAGTTAAGTGGATATTTAAAAGTAAACTGAATCCTGATGGATCAGTGAACAAACTTAAGGCAAGGCTTGTTGTTAAAGGCTTTGCACAACAATTTGGAATTGATTTTTCAGAAACCTTTGCACCTGTGGCAAGACATGACACCATTCGGCTTCTCATGGCAGTGGCAGCTCAATTCAGTTGGAAAATCTTCCAACTTGATGTAAAATCTACATTTTTAAATGGATTACTTGATGAAGAAATCTATATTGAGCAACCGGAGGGGTATGAAGTCAAGGGACAGGAGGAGAAGGTCTATCTACTCAAGAAGGCCTTGTATGGTCTCAAACAGGCCCCTAGAGCCTGGTATAGCAGAATTAACGACTATTTGTGCAAGCTAGGGTATGCTAGAAATCCAAACGAGCACACCCTTTATGTAAGGGAACAAAGAGGAGAAGTGATGATAGTCTCTCTTTATGTTGATGACCTCCTGGTGACTAGAAGCAATCTTGATCAGTTGGAAGAGTTCAAAAGTGCAATGAAGATGGAATTTGATATGACTGATTTGGGTGAAATGAGCTACTTTCTTGGCATGGAAATATACCAAAGCTTAAAGGATATATTTGTGCGTCAAAGGAAGTATGCAAATGAGGTGCTAATGAAGTTCAATATGGATAATTGTAAATCAGTTGATATTCCACTGATTCCTGGCCAGAAGCTGAGCAAGGAAGATGGTGCCAAGAGGGTGGATGAAGGAGTCTATAGAAGTTTGATAGGATGCTTGCTGTACTTGACAGCAACCAGGCCTGATTTGATGTACACCACCAGCCTCCTGTCCAGATTCATGACCAAGCCAAGTGAGATGCACTACAAGGCTGCAAAGAGGGTGCTACGGTACATTAAGGGGACTACTGAGTTAGGAATCTGGTTCAAAAGGGCTGAAAAATTCAGCCTAATTAGGTATTCAGACAGTGACTGGGCAGGCTCAGTTGATGACATGAGAAGCACTTCTGGATATGTTTTCCTTGTTAACCATGGTGCCTTCAGTTGGCTCTCCAAAAAACAAGATACAATTGCTCAATCTACTGCTGAGGCAGAATACATTTCTGCCGCAGCTACTACAAACCAAGCAGTCTGGTTGAGAAAAATTCTGGTAGACTTGAGGCTGAATCAAGATGAGTCTACCACCATTTAATGTGATAAAATGTCAAAAGTTGAAATTGATAAGAATCCTATTCTCCATGGTCGAACTAAACATATCAAAATTAAATACCATGCTGTGAGAGAGGCAGAGCAAAGCAAAGAAATCAGCTTAGTTCATTGTTTGGGAGAGAACCAAGTTGCTGATATCATGACCAAAAGGTTGAATAAGTCCAAGTTTATAGAATTCAGACTCAAACTTGGAGTTTCCAGCATGAATATCAAGGAGGAGTGTTGATCAAGATGATATTATGCTGGAAACTTAGGAAGTTGGTTCCATTTTTGTAATACTGGAGCTGCATATTCTGGTGGCAAAATCTGGAGTTCTGTTGCTATTAGTTTCCACTGTAATGCACCGGCATTTCTTTGATTATTATAATGTATACCTTAGGTGAATTCAGCTAAAAATATGTTGTGGATTAGGTGCTAATGTAATGTGATGTGTATGTAGTAGTTAGTAAAGCATGGCTGTTTAATTTTGATTGTAAGCCTGCTGCAGAGTAGGTGTAACTGCAGTGCAAACCATGCTTTATATTCTATTTTTTTTTCAATGAAAGACAATTCCCGTATGCAACCTTTTTCAGTGTGTGTGCCAACATAACAGCTACATTTTTCCTTAGAATTCTTCAGCTCTAAAACCATCATAAGATGGCTCTAATACCACTATTAGTCACTGGTGGGGTTTACATGGCGGAAAAACAAAAAGAAATCCCCACAAAACAACCTAGATGCCAAGGAACTTATACCGGATTTACATTATTTGTATAAGAAGTAAAAATACAGAATTATACGTGCGTTTGGAGGCTCCTTCTTGCGATGCGGATTGCTCCCACTCTAAGCCAAGAGTGCACTTCTGGTATCCACACGAAGACAAGACGGGTGATCGCCTTGCGGTCTCAAGAATGCAAAAAACGCAAGGATCAAGGATGTTGAATTTTTCTTGGAAAAATTCTCTTCTCCACCTAGAGAGAAAATGTGTGTGTGAGAGAGAGAGAGAGAGAGGGGTGGCTATGGTTTCTTTTATTTTGCAAAAAAAAAAAAAAAATTATCTCATTTAATTTTTAGTTGCACTTAAATAGTACACACTAAAAACCTAATTTAATATGGAATAGCAATCTACTTATTCCATATTAAGATTAGAAATATTCCAATACCAAACAAAGCATTTCAATTCAAATTTAAAAATTTAATTTGAATTCCATATTATCAAAATTAATATTAAATAATATATATATATATAAACTAAATATTTAAATATACAATCTCACTAATTTAATTTCCATATGAAATTAAATATAGGCAACAACCTCAACAAATTTAATTGCATTGTGAGATTACCTAAATGCCCTTTCGTCTTTAAAGACGAAAATACCCTTTCATTATAAATGACGAAAAGGCCCCTCTCACTTATCCATCCTTAATCTATCTTCTATATGTGTGATCCGAAGGCTCCTCATCATATAGCCAGTGAGTAGTCTCACGATTGACACTAATCAATCATCTCACTAAACACAAACCAAGATTGGCCTCTAGCAAGGCATCAAGGTCACTTGATAGATTTGAATTCAGCGAAACAACTTACCTATCAACGATATAGTTACCGTGCAATCCAATCCTTTCATCATCCATTATCTCATTAAGGCTAAGACAAAAAAGTAATGTCAACCTCAGATATCCTTAATATCTCGGTATTCGGTTATTGGACCAGCGACCGGAATATATTAGATTAAGCTACAACTCAATCCCACTGTGGCCACAGATTTAATGGCATTGCCATCTACCAAATTACTCAGCGAGATAATTTCTCTTGTACCTAAAAGTGATGAATCCTCTATTAATCCACCATAGTCTTGATACACTTTTTGATGTAGCTAATCACTACCATTCTAATAGCTCTACATAGAACTATGTTTTGCTAGTGTCAAACTACACCAATTGGTGCACAAGGTGATCCGTTGATCTCAAGTCTAAGGATCACATGCACCACCATTCGTTAGAGAATTTATTCCATAAACACTAGGGTTACCATCTATGTGGAATCCTCGGTATGTCCAATGAACTCGCCTATGACAAGCACCCATGTGTTGCACCAGGTTGTCGACAAACACCCTTGACAAGTGAGATCTATCACTGTCTTTCAACAGGGTCATTCAACACTATGATAGTCTTATTGTATTATTTATGTCCTTAGTCAGAACAATACTAGGGCTATGGACCTTTCTAGAATGGTCATCATATGTGATTATAGAGCCCTCACTATCGAGATTTGAAGCACTCGATACCCTCATCACGGTTTTACCATTCTAATGACATACATTATAACATATATTAAATACGAATTACATAATGTAGAAATGATGTTTATTAATTATAAACATTATTACAAGAGTCAACATTTACAAAATGGATTGGCTCTAGAGCACCAATTCTAACAAAAATTAGTATTTTTAGTGTATTTAGGATTTTTTAGATTTAGGATATTTTTAAAACTAGTTTCGATTAACTATATTTGAAAATGGCTGAATCAATTGCCGAATCGAAAAACTGGTTCAGCCACTTTTCTGAATCAAAACTGAACTGGTTTTAAAAAAAAAAACGATTCTTTAGTTCGATTTCGGTTCGGTTTTCTAGTTTGATTCAGTTTTTAGATTTGGTTTCCCACCCCTACCCAACACTAATGTTAGGCTTAATAAATTATTAAATTATGTAAAATATTACAAATGTTTATAAGAAAATAGAAAAGAAACTAATAAATAAATAAAATAAAAATATTGAAAAATAAATATAAAAATGTCCAAAAAATGGAAAAATAAATCTAGAATAATGAAATGTATAAAAAAATAAAAAATAAAAAAATAAACTTCATAAAAATTTTAAAAATTAATACAAATATAAAAAAAATTAAATTAAAATTTTAAACTTGGGAAATATATTTTAGATTGTACCTTTCTTTTTTAGGTTCTTTTAGTTTTTTTTTTTTTAAAGTATTATTAATTTTTCAAAATCTTTAATTATTTCTTAAAATCCTTTTTTATTTAGTATCTAAGATTTTAAGTTAATTATTTTTGTTATATATGAATTTTTTAAATTTTTAATTTTTTTTTTTTTTTACCTTTTTTAATTAAAAATGAGTTGTTAATAAATTCTAGGGTAAATTAGTCAAGTTCAAAATATAATTCAAGTAATTCGTAAATATGTTTGGTAAAATTCAATCAACTCCATATTTGTTCAGTTCTATGTGGTAGTTTCGAATGTTTTTGGGATATAAGGTAGTTTCAAGAGTTTTAGGGGTGTAAATGTATTAACCTTTAATAATTATAAAAAATTAGATGCATTTTACTCTTTACCCTTGATTCTATTAAAACTAACCAAGAAACTTTAGGCGGCTGACACAGGGAGTTGAGAGTAATTACCAATACCATAGGGTGTTAATCGATCGGATTAGGGCAAACCTCGGGAGATTTAAAGTTGATCAATAAAACTAATTAAAAATTAGTGTTGTATACAATTGAAACCTTGTTGCTATATGTTCAGTATTCCAAATTCATATTCCACATCTAATTTCTGAAAAACACCACAAAGGCGCAAAAGAGTCCTAACCATTCATTTATTAATTAAGTACACAGTAAAGTATATGACAAGAGAAGCATAATGAAAAATAAATTAAAAGAAAACCATAAACGAGAGCCTAAATTAAATATAACATTTTTTCATCATAAAAGCTTATTAACTTGGGTTGTGAATTGTAGTTTGCGCTGTGTCATCAGGATCATGTTTAATTTGATTCATAAACTACGATATATAATGATAAATCTAATATCACTCTCTCTTTACGCATTTCAGCTGACTGCCAAACCAAACATGCATGTATCAACTTCCCAAAATTGTATTTTATCAAACAAACATCGTATAATTAATTTATTAACTGTTGAAGATGCGATTTGAAGACCAGTTTTTCAAACCCAGAAGTTTAACCAGTGTGAGTTGGTGCATGATGGATCTAATAGACCAGAAGACTCGAAGCCACCATCAAACTTTTCTGATGATACTGCACAACCATCAACGTTCATTAATCCGGAGTGGCCACTGTCAATGCTATTAGTATTACGCCTCAATTCTTCCTCACACTTGCCTGAACTTCCTTTCAATAAATCCTTGATATCACTATTTCCATCATCAGCTTTTCCAAGGAGCTCATTAACCATCTGCAACTGTTAATAGTAAAAAAGAGTTACATATATTTACTTGCAGAAATTAAATGTTTTGAAACTTTAAGATTCTATCCTTGAAGGCTTAGCCGCATAGTCAGGTCTGGTTTGCTCCCACACGGTCTAGAGTTCGAGATCCCTTATGGGCACTTGCATGATCAAGGGCCACCTCCGCTCCTCAAAGATTGTAGGATTTGACGGGGGGGCACCAATAAGGAAGCCAGACTTGCAGGTGCTAGTGAATTATTTGATTCTCAAGAAAAGAAAAAAAAAAGTTAAGAGGATACTAATTACCTCAGAGAGCAAGGATTCTTTCTCTTTCTTTAAGGATTCAAAACGAGACGCTAAGCTATCATAATTAGCTCTGAGTATTTTATAATCATGCTCAATTTGTTTTGATTTCCATCTAGCTCTTCTGTTTTGAAACCATATAGAAACCTGGCGAGGCTGAAGCTCAAGCTCTCTTGCTAGTTGCAACTTCTTCCTTGGTTCAAGCTTTGTGTCTGACTCGAAGATTGATTCCAGTAATCTGATTTGTTCATCACTGAACCTGCTCTTATTTATTTTATTCTTCTTCTTCTTCGTAATTGACATTTCAGATTTCTCTTCCTCTCTTCTTTGAGTTCGCTCCATCATATTATTTCTCAACTTGTGTGATGAGAAGTCTCTTGTTCAGCTCTATAAGCAACTATAAATAGAAGATATGATAGTTTTTACAACACTTTTTCTTAAGAAATAGGGTGAAAGTGAGGGTTTTATTTTATGTTGTGAGATCTTTAAATATTAAATTCATTTATTTCGTTTCAAAAGTATTAAGTTTATAATTACCGAAAACATCCCTAGAAATATCAAAAACTCCTTTAGAAAATATCAAACACTCCATAACAAAATTATGGAACTATCTTGATAGAGGATATTTTATACTTTTTGAACGAATATTACGAAACAATCTCACAGGAGAAAAGTAAAAGAAACCATTTTGTATAATCATGAATCTAGTGCTGTATACGGATGATTGGTAAAATTGGATGCATTTGTCTTGTAATATTCAAATAAACCAGTCAAATTTTAATTAACACTTCAACTACTACATACGATATTTTTGTATAAGACAGACAAAATTTTCATGACGTACGCAAGTCAATATATGAAATTCTTAACAAGATTTTAAGACAAATCTAACTTATTAACCTGTCAACTTTAATATATATATATATATTATGGTGGGCAATGATTTATCATATTATCTGTAAACAGTTGATTATATTTGCTGCTGTATCAATTTTAATTAAATCATAGATGAATTTGAATTGAATATTGAATGAAATTAAAGCACCCTGGAGTATGGCCTACGTTACATATTTAATTAACGTGAAGGAAGTATCTAAGTTAGAATTTTGATTTGATGGGTCATCTGAACCAATAGAGTTAGATGTCGTATGGCTTTCTCCTTCTAATGACTTGTGGCTTTTGTCTTCTTTATTTACTATTTCTAAACTATATTCCATTTATCATTACTTTTTTCAAGTCTTCTGTCTTTACAACCGTATCTACCATTTTTCCTTAATTGAAACAGAGGAAAAGACAAGAAATAATATTGACAGTTCTGAATATTAGAAGAAGATACTTATACCCTTTTTCGTTTAGCTGTATATGAATTTGCTGCTTTTCATGAATTTCTTTTTGGATTTTGTATTATGTAATTAGTATAGTTAGAAGAATATTTAGCATGCGTCAATCATATTAAAAATATATATATATATTATTCAAAGTTTTGTAACATATTTTGACTTCTTTTTTTGTATGTGTGTATATATATAGTTCGAGTAATTAGATTATTGAAAGATACATGCATGCACTCTTTTTTCAATATTAATTTATGATTTCTCCATTCAGATTGTGAAATAAGCGTTCTTCTAATGCTTTAATTTTTTATTCACTGGTTGCAATCTAAGATGACCAAAATTTGACTTGTAGCGTAGAAAAATTTGCCATTTGTATTTGTACTTCTGCTAGATGATAACAAATTCTCTACTTCAACCAGATAACCTTATTAATGGGTTACAGTTTCTCTTCAACAATATCATAATGATAAAGTAAGAAAAAAATTGAAGTAGAAGATGATGGTGATTGATGCCTGATTGAGTTGTAATATCTTAATCATCAAGGACAAGATGAGGATCGCCTAATATGGACAAATACATGTTTGATTGTTAAGTTAAATCACTGAGCTTTGCTTATATGGCCAATCACGCCAGCTGGCCTTAAGATGAAATTATCTCATTCTTCTTTTGGTTTCTAACATGAGCAATATGGCTGAGTCATTGTCAAAAATTGAATCTAGTCTCATTATCTTCAACGTATCATTATTTAATTAATGGTTGATAAAGTGTAGTTCATGTGTCAATTAAGGAGAATGACCAGATTTCAGGCATCTGGACCCTCATCTTTGACAATTATTCACTAATTAAGGACCCATTAAATCATAGTTATTGAAATGGTTTATTCTTAGTCTGTAATAAATATTGATATATATCCCGACTTTATATCATATAAATACGTAATTTATATATACATTAAAAATACTTACAATTCATTAATTAATACGTAACATTGGGATATTAATTAAATTAGCCAAACATTGGAGTTTTACATAGTTATCTAAATGTTTTATTCATAGTTAGTGATTAATATTGAAATAAATTCCGAGTTAATATATACTAGTATAAACAAGTAATTTGTTTATACTTTAGAAATAATGGCAAATCATTTAATATGCAAAACTTGGGATATAAATTTAGGTTACTAGTTTTCCTTTGGCTTCATCTTTCTTCAATGCTTTTTGTTTTTTTCTTTTTAAAAAAATAAATAAATAAATAAATCACAACAAGGTCTTCATAAAAAAATATATTAAAAAAAAAAAAAAATTGTTCACCTGAAAAGGCAACCAAAGGACGGGGGCTAGTTTGCATCCCGTTGCGGCGGCAGGTCCCAATGACAAGAATAGAAAGAAAGTATTAATTGTAGACTAGAAAATTAAAAACAATTGATTAAACTCTTTACACATAACAAGTAATTTAGGCTGCAAGTTCAGCTTTAAACAAGAAAGGATAAATAATAAATGTAGTATTTTTGCATGCATGTTCCTAATTTGACTTTATTTTAAATTGTATCAAAGTTAATTGGAACAATTTTCAAAGTTAGGTGGTTCCTTTCCTTTTACAAAATTAATTTTAATTACCTTTTACAATCAAGAATTGGGTCATCTCCTCTAATATTTTATCATGTTTGTGTAAATTTCCTTATCTTAAAGACTGCGTGTGAAGGGATGCATCTTCTCAACGATGAACTAGTTCGTGAAAATGACTCTTTAATTTGTCTTCAATCGGCCATGATTCAATTAATTTAATTTCCAATTTGTTAATGTGAATTCCTGTATAAAGTCCAACCTGTTATTGAGTGTCAAACAAAATATTCATGGTGACGTGTTGTCCAACAATATCTGAATTACAAAGGGGAGGATGGTCCATCCACAGTGAGGGAAAGGTACAAGCATTAATATTTTGAGGTTACATTATTTTATTTCTTATTAAATAATATTTATTTAGTGAAGAGAGTAGAGGTGGGCAGGGACCGGTCCCCTACGGGCTCAAGCCTGGGCCCGTTTGGGACTGGTCCCAAATGGGACCAGTCACTCCGATCCCAGGCCCATGAGAAAAATCAGGACTCTAACCAGGCCCTAGGCCTGGTCGGGACTGGTCTTATGGGCCCAGCACCGATCCTAGGACCGGTCCTATGGGCTTGGATAATTTTTTTTCCCCCCTGATTTTTTTTTTATATTTTAGGGGCGAATTAAAGTTTTATAGGGGGTTTTTAGTATTTTTTAGGGGTTGATTAGTAAGTTTCTAAAAATTTAATAAATCTGAAAAAATAATAAATTATTAGTTAATTTTAATTTTTAACATAAATGTAATATTCACATTTCACACATTCATGCTTCACAAATAAACAATTAAATAATTTTTTTAATTAAATTATTCATCTTCAATTTCATCATCAACACTAGTTACATTATTCAAATCTGTATTCCTAAAGAGTTCGAGTAGTTCGGGATCTTCAGGGTGCTGTTGTAGTCTTCTTTCTGTATGAGTCCAATCTCGTAAACACGTTATCACTTCAATCATCTCATCGGTTAAAGAACATCTTCTGTCTTCAACTATCTGACCACTCGTTGAAAATGTTGACTCGAATGTAATTGTAGAAACCGATACAGATAAAATGTCACGTGCCATTTGGGATATCATGGGGAATCAACTTTCATGTTGGTTCCACCATTGAAGAATATCCATGTCAAGTTGCTCCTTCATCGTCATAAAGGTCAGGTTCGCCTGTAGGTAGCGAGTCAGCTCATTTGGTCCATGTATGTACGAGCTGGAGCTTCCACCACGTTCCACATACGCCCACTTGCTCGATCCTTGAGGGGGGGCTACATCAAGGTCCTGATCGCCTCTCCTAGACGTTCCACTTCCACTTCCACTTCCATTGTACCTGTTCTCATATAAAGAAAAAAGCATATCCAATTTGTGTTTAAAGTCAATCAAATAAGACGTATAATCATATCCTAAATGATGGCCTAACTCAGTAATTATACCGTTGACTACGGATAATTTAAACCTAGGATCTAGAAAAAGGCTTAATCTATATAAGAATGGAATATCTAACCAATATCTCTTATATTTTTCTTTCATACTTAAAACAATTTCACTTAAAATGTTATCATGTCTATATTGAGCAAAAGTTTTAGCAATTTGAACTAAAATATCTAACACTAAATTAGTAGTTGGATAATAAATACCACTTAATGTATTAGTAGCATCATAAAAAATTTTAAGAAATGAATAAAAAAGTTCACAAACCGCCCAATCATCATAGCTGACAACTTCCTCTGAATTCTTCCGGTTGACGAAATCTGTAATTTGTTTCGCGGTTGGCAAAGCTTTTTCCAACATCAAGTAGGTTGAGTTTCAACGGATAGGCATGTCTGTACATAACTTCAAAGGTCGAACCGGTGGCTCCTCTTGCTTACAATATTTGATGTACTCCTACCATCTTTTATTGCTACCGCCGACGATAAATCCGATAGCTCTGCGCACCCTCTCCATCTTTGAATGTATAGCATCTAAACCTGTTTTAACTATCAAATTGATGATGTGACAAGCACATCTCTGGTGAAAAAATTTGCCTTCACCATGCAGATCCAATCTCTTTTCAAATAAAGAGATTGTCGCGGTGTTAGCAGCTGCATTATCAAGCGTTAGCGCTACAACTCTATCAGTTAATAAATATTCTTGCAAAACTTCAAGAATTGTAAAATAAATAGTTTCAGCACTATGTAAAATAAATCGTATTTCGAATATGTTATCATATATATCCTTAGAATTGTAGAATCTAGGGTTGTAAGTCGAGCCGAGCCACTTGCGAGCGGCTTAGGCTCGACTCGAAAAAAGCTCGAGCTCGGTTCGATTTTTTGCGAGCCAAGCTTGAGCTTGAGTGGCTCATCTAGAGTGTTGAGCCAAGTTCGAACGTGCCAATACTCTGCTCGACAAGCTTCCGAGCTTCAATGAGCTCAAAAAGGGGTAATATGATAGTTTTACAACTATTAAGGGTATATGAAGTTAGCTAAAAAAGACAAACACACCCATATTCCCAAATCAATTAAA